TGGTCTCATAGAACCTAAATATTTTTATGTTAAATCTTCCCATTTTCAACATAGAAAATAGTTCAGCAATACTAACATGATTTTTGGAACTTTCTTGATGTCTTCCTGTCTTTCATTTTCATACCTATACAGACAGGTATTTTTCCATTTCTAAAGGAAGAGAGAATCTGCAAAAAATATTCTAAGAAAAATCACTTGCAATACTAAATAGTATTCATTAAAAGTGGTTGAATGCAGTAAAAAATCCAATGCATATCCTACAAAATTAAGAAGAGTGAGGCAAAGATACATAGGGGAGGAAAAGGAGAGAATGCTGAAAGGGTTGATATTGATCAAGATGCATAGTATTTACAGAATGCTTTGCTAAATGATAACTCATTTTTACAACCACTTAAAGATAATAAATAACTTTACAAGTCTGAAAATAAGTGAATGTAATCCATTAAGTTATAGTCAATTTACATGGTCTTAAATAGAGGTTTGATGTGTTTCTCAAAATGTTCAATGTTCTTCTAAATTTGAACTAGAGTATTCTTAAATCTTCCAATTCCTTATTTTATTTATTTATCTAATTTGATTTTTGTGGTGGGGAAACAAACTTAGAGTCTGGTGAGCAGAAGCAAGTATTCCTCAGCTAAAAAAAATACACTCAGTATTACACACACACACACACACACACACACCACTGTCATGCTTTGTGGGCCATTTCTCTCATTTGCTCCAAACTTCTGGGCTCGAGCAAAGCTCTGGCCTTAGTCATCTGGGTAGCTATGACAATAACGTTAATTTCTAATATTTTTAAATGCTCACAGGAGCTAATTGTCATATTGTTACTTACTTTGTTCCATATTCTGTAGCCTTTATAGGAGCTGCAAAATGTATATAAAATATTAGCTAACATTAAATACTGATTTCTTTTAGGTAGTTGAATGCATCTTTCCTAGTGCGCCCATCAATATAAAATGCATCTCAAAAATAAGATTGTAATGGATTATTCAATCTTTTTTGTCATTTCTACTGCCAAATGTGATGATATTTTGTAGCTCATCAGCTGGGGGCTTAAAGTTTATATTCGCATTACATTGTATTTTGTTCAGTAAATATAGCTGTTAATGTTTACAATAGTAAATAATAATTTTATCAAAAAATATAGAAAAGAAAGTATATTTTGCATCATTTTCCTTTTGCTGGTAATTCATAGTACCGGCTCAGCTGCCTTAAGCAAGGTAGGTACCATAACCAAAATGTAGTTTATTAAATTATGTATTTATGAGAGAACCCCTTCACCCTCAGCCCATAGTTAATAACTATTCAGTTTTGCCATTGTATTGAAAAAAGGGCATTATCTGTAAGAAATTGCAAAATGTGATCTTTGGGATGCTACTTTAGTTCACTACATGCAATTTTCTTCTTTACCATGGGTGATTTTTGTTGAGCATAGCACTTATATTTGACAAATATGTGAATATACATTTTTATTGACTTTGAGGACAATATCTTGTCACCTGTTTTATATCTTAATTTGTGTTGAACAGGGAGTGCCATTAAAATGTTTCATATGCGTCAAAAGAGAGACACCATGCCTCTGATGGCAGTGTAATTACACAGTACATCATGAGCGATCTGACTTTGGCACAGCTGCAGATTACTTAAGAGTTTTGAATTAATCTGAATGACCCCAGCTTTATTGCTGTTGAGATTTTAAAAATGACAAAATGTCAAGTCATTGGAATTAAACCAGCAGAACCTAAACAATCTGACATGACTAATGTGTACCTTCTCTCACTTGCTCCATGCTCCACAGACTTTATTACCAGATGCAATATTTTATTGAGAAATATATGTCTAATGAACATGAGTGTCTCCAACCTTAATAAAATGTATGTCTGTTATGGGAAGAACAGGAAATACACTGTTCTTTATGTTTGTAGCTTACATATACTAAAACTTCAGTGCACCAAAAGATGCGCATGGTGAATCATTGATTTGCCTTGCTTTTATCTCCATTTAGAGGTGTGCGTGAGAAAGGAACGCTATTCACTCAATCTTTTTGGGAAAATGGTACTGTTTCAATTTATCACAAGTTTTTCAACACCATTAAGTAATAATGAAATTTGTGGATGTACTCCACACTGACAATATTTAAAAATAATTGCTTGCATAACCTTAGAACTTATATTGATAAATTGCCACACACACACAAAATCTGCCTCCACATTTATTGTTATTGAGTGCATATGAACTTCTTTTGTGAAGCAGAAAATTCATACCTCAGCATATTGTTGTCAAAAAAGGATCTTTCATCTCCAGTCTGCCTTATCTGATGCCTTGCTGATTACTTCTCTCTGTCCACGCATGTTACTGATTTCACACGGGAAGGTTTCAATTCTATCTCAACTCTTTGCACTCACTAACTGTAATCCTTAAGAGATGACTCCAGACTATCTTACTGCCCTTGATACTCCGTTCTTTTTCCTTTAAATCTTTAACTCTGCAAATAAACAAACTAGTATATGAACCTAATATGTAACTTTTAAATTGCTATACCTGAATAGATATATAATAGCATCACCAGAATTATCCCCAAAACCCTACAAGTTACATCCCTGACTGCCAAACCTGGCCATTCCTCTCATGCATACCAACACACACACACACACACACACACACACACA